GGTCAGTAAAATGAGGATCCAGATTATTGGGGGCAATATGCTGACACTGTAAACTGCTTAGAGAGAGCTGTAAAGACTATGAAGCAGTATATAAGTCTAAGTGCTATTGCTATTGCTATTTTGGGCCAATTATCCCCTCAGTCCTAGAAGGAAAGCAATGGTAAGCCATTTCTTAAAACATTGTCAAAAGAATTGCACTATAACTGCCAAGAGTCAAGGCTAACTCAAAGGCACATATGTGTATTTGTATGCTTGTATGCATGTATAACAATAGAAATTAAATTGATTTCTTATATTAACATTTTGAGAGAGTAAATTTATATAGTCAAAATTCTGATGGCCTACAGAATAATTAAAATTTCCTTAATATAACAATAACAGTGTAAAACAATAAAATGTGCCTAGTAAGGATGTAAACTATTGTAAACAATCTCACAGTAAAATTAAACAAGCAATGGTCTCATAATCATATACAAAATAGCATGTCACTATCAAATTCTACTATATCATGTTGCTACTATAACTGTGAACACTGTTTCCTACCTATATTTCCTAAGCATCTTTTGTAATTCATCTGGATTCATAAAGCTTTTGTACCATCATAGCCAATCAATTCACTATTATTGACAATCTTATTTGGACAACATGCTCTAAGTACAGCAAAGGGCTGAGTCAAATGCCCTTCATATTCAGCTCAAACAGGTCCATGGTTATCTGGGACTATGACTGAGAGATCATGAGAATCCAAGTTGCTCCAGCCCTGGCCCCCAGGACAAGGAGGACAACATCTCTCTCTATACCAAAATGTGAAAGGACTCCTTTTTACCACACAGACACATCAGAATCTCAGGGGCAGATGCCCTGATCACAGGAAAGACAGGCCATATCTCCAAAAGCGTGACATTGCTATCTTACCCAACCAGGTTCTGAAAATACACACCAGTTACTTTCTTTATTCACCAAATCATGAATGAACAAGATCTACAGTCAGACCTTTTATTTACTATCAGCAGCACAAAGTTAAGGTTATCAGCGTTCTAAGCATCAAGAGTGCAGGTCCATCATCATCATCATCATCATCATCATCATCATCATCATCATCATCATCGAGGTGGAGGAGACCTTGGAGGTCTTCTAGTCCAACCCCCTGCTCAGGCAGGAAACCCTATACCATTTCAGGCAAATGGTTGTCCAGTCTCTTCTTTAAAACTTCCAGTGTTGGAGCATTCACAACTTCTGGAGGCAGGTTGTTCCACTGATTAATTGTTCTGCCAGGAAATTTTTCCTTAGTTCTAGGTTGCTTCTCTCCTTGATTAGTTTCCATCCATTGCTTCTTGTCTTGCCTTCAGGTGCTTTGGGGAATAGCTTGACTCCCTCTTCTTTGTGGCAACCCCTGAGATATTGGAACACTACTATCATGTCACCTCTAGTCCTTCTTTTCATTAAACTAGACATACCCAATTCCAGCAACCGTTCCTTATATGTTTTAGCCTCCAGTCTCCTAATCATCTTTGCTGTTCTTCTATGTACTCTTTCTAGAGTCTCAACATCTTTATTATTATTATTTTAATAATATTTTATTAATTTTCCAATTTTACATCTAAGTATTTAAAAAGCAGTGTGGTGGCTGGGTTAATCAATAGTTCAATAACATACAAAAATCTTTAGTACAAATCTGAAGTTACATCAAATATTTCCTTTAATATCTATTATCTCGTATTTAAGCTAATACAGTTCTTATTATATCAACTAAGTAAAAACATCATTATTACATTTATCAATAAATTTTTAGCTTATACATATCTTAATTACTTTTACATTCAATCTTTATAGATAATCAATGTCCCGTTATTGATTTTTCCCAATTTTTAGTTTCCCATCAATATTCAACTTTAACATTTGATATTTATAATTTCCAGGCTTTAGGTAACCAAAGTTTTCCTTATCTCAATTCATAACAGAATCTAATATTTAGAATACACATCTTATCTATTTGAATATAGTCTTGTTCTATTTCCTAAAAGTTATCTATTTCCCACCATATTAAATCATCTAATTAATAATACAGTATCCCCTTTAATAAATCAAAACCATTACATATATTGTCTGGGTTAATCAATAAATCAAACATATTCATAATGTTTTTTATTTTGGGTCTAATTTTTAAATATTAAACAAATAGAACCCTTATTTTCAACTAGTTTCCAAATATTTTAAATTTAACGATCAAAATTCCCCTTATCTCATTAAATCGTCTCCCTATTATTCCAATTCTTCATGATTGTCCTGATATGTTTATCTTCCATTTAATCTGTTCTTCTTCTTTCTCAGATTTCTTCTGATTTATATAGAAAGTCTTTTCCATTTTCAGTGTTGTCACTCCCTTTTCTGGATTTTCCATTAACTGGAAATTGTTGGTCAATTGAGTCCTCTGTCTTAGTATTTGATTGTTCCACTTCTGTTATCTTCTGCGTTGTTAGTTCTTTGGTTGTAGTCAAAATTTGGGTTTGTGTATCTAAGCTGGCATCTTGTTCTTTTATGTTGAGTCTTATTTTGTCACAAGCTGAAAGAATGGTTTCATGTATTGCTTTCAACATAGAAAGGATCTTTTCCTGGTCTTCATCCATATTCTCTTAAGTTGAGGACTTTAAAGTCCTCTTTAAGTTGAGGACTTTAAAATCAGACGTTAAAAATAATTTTATAACTAGATATGGGACCTCTATTTGACGTTTTTATAGTTAGTCTTTATAATAGAAGTCGTTTGTCAAGTAAAATTTTATAGTCCAAGGTATTTCATCATCTCATATAATAACCAATGTTCCTCAAATAAAGAGAGAGGAAAGCAATTCCCCACATATACCTCTGAAAGTGAGTAAAGGTTTACATTCATAGTTCAAGCAGGCTAGTTATGGCACCCAGAAGTTCTCTTTACAGCTGAGTTTCTCACAGGTGGTATCAAGGTCAAAAGAGTTTTATCTGAAGTCTGGGCTTCAAGCCAAGTCTCTTTTAGGCAATAACAAGTTGTAATACCAAACTTTGCCACAAGATGTCACCAATGCCGTTTAAAACTTTTTAAGTCCCCCGTTTTTATAATAGTTTTTCAAAGTTTATTTTTTTCTTTTTAGTAAAACTCAGCATATCCAGTAGAAATAGGAATAAGAAAACTTTTAAGAAAACTTTTTAGTCCCCAAATTTCAAAAGTATATACATCCAATTAGATTAAAGTTGTTTTTATAATTGCTTTGTTTCCCCTGGGTAGTCAGTCGCTGCTGTTCTTAGAGGGGGGCAGGAATTCCCTTCCCTCTCTCCTCACAGCTGTCAGCAGCTTAATGACGAGCTGTATTGCAATGACCGGTCTTTTCCCCGTCAGTTTGGAGAGCTGCCCCAGATCAAGCGGAAGGGCTGCTGCCCTCCCGTGATCAAGCGGGGATCCCCTCCTCGCTCGTAGCCCCTACAGGGTGACTTTCAACCCTTTCCAGGGTCCCCCAGTGGGATGAAATCGGATGCTGAAGACGGAATTTGCCTCCATGCGTCTGGAGGCGCTGATGGCAAACCGGAAGTCTCAACATCTTTTTTACATTGTGGTGACCAAAACTAAGAAGTGGAGCCTCTCACCAATATGTCCCCTGCCATGTCTTCCTAAAACCATTATTATTGTGATTAGTTCCCCACCTCCATCAATAAGGAGTTACTAGATTTCTTTAACTTCACCTCTCATCACTGCATATGAACACATTCTGTTCACCATTATATATTTAAATGCTAGATATATTAGTCTAATGTAGTCTAGTCTGATCTGATGTATACCTAGACTCTTGAAGGAAGTACTTCTGTTATGAAACTATATGCTGTTAATATCTGTAAGAGAGGCACTTCTAAAGATGTCCCTATTAGCCAAGGCTCATTTCTCTGTCATATAGGGCAGGGCTTTTCAACCTTTTCACCCATTGTACCACTTTTAGGATATGGCAACATCCAAGTACAAGCAGTCACCTAGCAAGGTGTCAAAAACTTGATGACCCCCCCAAAAAAGGAAAAAAGTACTTACAACAGTTCGCTTAGTGACTGTTTGAAGTTACAATGGCACTGAAAAAAGTGCCCCCCAACCACAGCCGAGCAAGACAGCGCCTGGCGGCGCTCTTCCTCCTGTCCAAGGTTTTCATTGTTGTGAGCATTTCTGTTGAGGATTGGCAATGGGGCTGGGGTGGGGGGGTGTTTGGTTTTTATTCCCCCTTCTGCTGGGTGGTTGCAGCAGGTTTTGGTCACTTCACATGACCCTGGGACACTGTGACTGTCATAAATATGAATCGGTTGCCAAGCATCTGAATGTAAATCACCAGACCCTGGAAATGCTACAACATTCCAGCTTCTTCTGGGCTCAGCAGAAGCGTCAGGATCAGTGCTGCTTTCCAGCTGATTGGTGCTTCTTCAGCTGGAGCCTGGCACTGATCCTGGTGCTTCCACTGAGCCCTGACAGCCCCGAAGCACCGATCAGCTGGAAAGCGGCACTGATCCTGGTGCTTCCGCTGAGCCCTGACAGCCCTGCAGCTCCAGCCATCTCTCGCTCAGGCTTGTACTGTGCTGCCACCGGTTCAGCTCATTCCCCTCCCCCACTACCACTTTTCTAGGATGGTCGCATACCACCTGCCATGTGCCAATGTACCACAGGTGGTACCCGTACCACTGGTTGAAAAGCCATGATATAGGAGAAGGTTTTCCCAAAATGTTTAATGTACTATCTGTCTTGGGCAAAGCTCTCTATGGTTTCTGCTTTAGAAAAACAACCAATATGCATCTATTTTACTGGGCTTTTACACTTTAATTAGTTTTCCTAACTGCCTTTAGTACTCACTGATTTGGAAAAACAGAATTTAAATGAAACAAATTGCTAATGAATGTTCATTTCTGAGAAACAAAATTTAGACACTTTGATTTGATTATGAATCTTTATTAAAATATCTTTAGGTTAATATATAATGCATTCTATTATAAATCTATAGGAGCAAATGTGCAAAAGGGAAAGTTTTTGGAAACTCCATTGCATGCAGCTGCAAGGCTACCTAATACAGAAATAGTAAACATGCTTCTTGAGTTTGGAGCAGACGTAAATACCAAAAATTCAGAGTTTGAACGACCAGTAGATGTCGCTGTTTCAAGCAGTTTGGTGGAAAAAATACTGCTATTACATGAAGGTAAAGTTTTGTTCTTTCTTTGTTGCTGTTGGGTTTTGGATGGCAGCACCAAGCCGAAGCTGCTTCTTTTTCTCTTTCTCAGTGCTGAGGAAGCATATATTAGATTTAGAATGAGGGGAGAAGAATTTTCCATCCACCTGTCTGACTATAGCAGGTTGCAAACTTCACTTTCCCTGGGAAAACATTTTTTTTTACCCTAACTCTATATTTCCCCCCCAAATCATTCAAAGTCTTGTTGAATTTTACAAACATTCCTTAATTTTCCTTACTGAAAACGTACATATGTACTAGATACCTCTTAGATGCATGTCAGTAAAAATGGCAGAGCATGCAAGAAATCTAATGTATTCAACTGAAATGTCTGTTTGAATATATGATAAAAATATATAAGGTTATAATATAATATTATATAATACAATAAGTTCAAAATGTAAGTTCTTGAGAATACTATCTAATGCTACCTAATGTCATTTTTATTCACTTGCAGTTACTCCATGTTCTCTTTGCCAGCTGTGCCGACTACAAATCCGAAATTATATAGGAAAATCTAGATTGCACCTTGTACCACAACTTCAGCTGCCAAACATCTTGAAAAATTTCTTACAGTATCGATAAAATAGTGAATTGTATTTCAGAACTTGAAGAAATATTCTACAACATGCTACATATGAAAAATTATATGATAGGAAACAACCTAAACAAGCTCACCTGCACATTAAAATCATGCCAAACATAATTTGGAATTCCTTGAAATAGTATTAAAATTAAATATAACTGTGCCCATATTTTACAGAGCTGTACAAATCCTTTGAAAAAAGTGTTCTGGAATGCAAGGTAATATGTGCGAAGACTCCTTTTTTGAATGATTAAAGCAACCAAATATTTAAGAAGTTGCTTCCAGCCATTTCCATTTATCAGTGGCTATATATGCACATGTATTCAGACAGAGGCAGCAGCAACTTTCTCCACAGCTACCTTAGCAATTTAAAAAGTTGGGCTTTGTGCACTTCCTGGCATGTTCCAAAGCATGTTTTTGGAAGGACTTACACAGCCTAATAGTTTGAAAATGTATTTTTTACAATATAGTTCTTATTGATTAATCACTGCATTTAAATTTTACTTTTGTCAGTCTAAGAGCCATGTTGATCCAATGGTTAGAAGGCAGTGTTGCAGGCTATCTCATTGCTCACTCCAGGAGTTCGGTTCTCAGTGGCTCAAGGTTCACTCAGCCTTCCATCCTTCCGAGGTCGGTAAAATGAAAACCCAGATTGTTGCAGGCAATATGCTGACTCTGTAAAACTGCTTAGAGAGGGCTATAAAGCACTGTGAAGCAGTATATAAGTCTAAGTACTATTGCTATTTCCAGGAGACTATATATTGCACTGCAAATTGTAAATTCTTTTTGAATTGTGATCTCTTTTCTTCAGCACTATTTTCTTAAAAGTATTAGAATGGCAGTGGAGAGAAAGAGAAATGGGATTTAAATAAATTAATGCTTCCAATCCTTTCCATATTTCTTCTCTGTATAAATTTTCCCAACTTGTGATCCCAAATTCACTAGGAGCTTCCCAAGATTTGGATGTAGTTCTAAATTGCAACTGAAAAGGGAGGCTATTAAGTACAATAAGATTGGGAGATGATTATACTAATTTCATTTAATAATTTAATTGCAATTATATACACAGGTAATCCTCGAGATACGACTGTAATGGAACCTGCCCATTTCACTCGCAAGTGGTGATGGCTGTTAAGTGAGAAGGCCTTGCTTAACAACCTTCATCCCCTGCTCTCCCTGATGTGGCCATTAAATGAACACATGGGTTGTTAAGCAGAGGTGGGGGAGGCCTTTAGAGGCCTAGCATAGGCCCAGGCCTGCCTGCCCTGGGCCTTCCAATGCCTCCCTCCCTCCAATATATCTTGTGCTCTGCTTTCTGTCCCCTGAAGATCTCCATGTTTCTCATGGTGGGGACTGAGGCTAAGCCATGCATCCCAGAAGTGGCCATCATTTTTTCCACTGCTTTCACAAAGCCATGGGCAAGGGACAGACCACTTGTTTCTTAATGCACAGCCTGACATCTGGAGATCTTCAAAAGCTAAGGGTGCAATGGATGATGGGTATGTGGAGAATAGGTCCAAGGCCCATGTTGGTCGTAATGGTGAATGTAGGGGGCTGCAATGGCCATAACTTCTAAATGGAGTCGTAAGTAGCTTTTTTTTGGGGGGGGGGGTATGTGTCATAACTTTGAACAGCCATTAAGTGACTATTCATATATAGAGAGCTACCATTAAATTTAAATAAAATCAGGTAATTCAGTTTTTGTCCTAGATTTGCTCATTTTCTGCTATATACCTCCAGCATTTGGGCTGATAAAAATCATTATGCTCTGTAAGAATTAGTTTAGTTGAAACAGGTTCACTTACTTCATTTGTAAAGAAACAATACGCAACTCTTAGTAGTAGGCTGTCTATTTAAATAATGCTGTTCCTGCAGAAGCTACTTTCTTCTATGTTCCTATTGCAGTTGAAAGAATGAGAGATTAACTGCCTTTTAGTGGATTCTTGGTCTTTTTAGAGCTAGAATGGAATGATCCTACAATGTATTCCTGCCTTTAAAAAAATCATGAAATGTTCTGTAAGTAATAATGTAGGTAGTGGGAATAGGGGAGAATGTTTTGAAAGTCTAGAATTTGTAAATTTTGCATAAAATCTATTGTTTAGTTTATTGTTTGATATATTCTGAGTAAAGATGGATGACTGTCTATGTATTAAGTATATTTTCTTTTTCTCTTTCTCTAAAACTGATATGCATATATAAAACTTAAAAGATAGTCAAACAAATAGGTGTCATTTTATTTTCAGACCTGTCTGGCATACATACTTTATGAAGACCTATTATTGTAAATTTATTTGTTTTTCTTTTGTGATCCAGCCCCTAACTGTCCTGGCATCATCCAGGAAATTTCAGGACAAAACAGGGACTTAACTACTCCTGCTTTAGTCACTACATAAGAATACCATAAATGTTTGCACATGTGATTATATCACTTTAAAATGCACAGAAATTACAGATGGTCACTTATATAAATAAAATATTAAATAAATAAACAGCACCAATCAGATTTGATGCCACTGGACTTCAATTGTAATAGTACAATTGTAATAGTAATTTTCAAATATATTGAGACTGGAGTTTTTGTAGTATTATGACTCCTTTGATTTTCTTTGTATGAAAATTCCAAAGAAACTTTCTCAATTAGTATAATTATAGCATTGAAAGAGAACATTTTAATTATCAAATCCAAGCTCTAAGTCCAAGCAGGAATTCAAATTCAATTGGAATCTGTTTTGCTGTAACTTAAGCTCATCATTCTGTGCTCTGGAATAAGGGAGAGAACAGATCTTGACTTTCTTCAATGTGACATCCTTCCAGGTGTTCAAAGGGTGCTATCATATCATGCTAAGTCATCTTTTTCCAAGGTTAAATGTTTACAGCCCATTCAGTCTCTTTTCATAAGTTTTAATTTCTGTTTATCCACTTCAACATTTGTTCTATTTTTTTTCAGTGCCAGAACTGGATAGTGTATTCACAAAGAGGTCAGACTAACACAAAAAAGAGTGGAAAAGTTACTTCCCATGATTTACAAATTATCCTTTAAGTGGTGTGAAATAAAATTATATTTGCTTTTCATAGCCACTTTCCTATGTTAGCCAATGCTAAGTTTACAATAAATACTATTCCAAAATCTTTTCACAATTATTATTAGGACAGATATATTCCATCTTAAGGGGTGCGATGGCTCAGAGGTTAAGAAGCTGAGCTTGTCAGCTGGATAACCAACAGCTGGGTTTGAAACCCAAGCACTGCATGACAGGGTGAGCTCCCATTATTCACCCCAGCTCTGGCCAATCTAGCAGTTTGAAAGCATGCAAATGTTAGTAGATGAATAGGTACTGCTTTGGTGGAAAGATTACTACATTCCATTTTCATGCTGGCCACATGATGACAGAAACATTATTCAGATAACACAGGTTCCGCTAACTGGGAATCAGATAAGCACTGCTCCCATGAGTCGGTCATGACTGGATAGGGAAACCTTTAAAAATTTTAATATTCCATTTTATACTTTTACATTTGATTTATATTTCTTATGTGAAGAGCTTTGCACATGTCTCTATTTAGTTCTGTTACGGGCAACCCATTACTTCCTAGCAAGATCATTTTGAATTGGATTTCTATCCAATAGGTTATTAGATATCCCACTCTATTTTGTGTCATTGCCAGTTAAAAGCATCTTTCTCCAAATAATTAATGTAAATATTGAAGAATAGAAGATCCAGGACTAACCATAGCTCTCTAATTTCATGAAGAACTACTGATGAGCATACTTGAATTATGTATTCTGAACCAGCATGTATCATCATGCCATCCAGTCCACAATTGCTGAAATATTTTGCCTAAAACAGAATGGATTATGACCTGTAGCCTGAAAGCTATTGTTAGATTAATGTTATCTGGATGTACTTTCCCCTCATGATTTTCTATTTTTATTTCCCATGCCTATAATTTTAGTTCATTTTCAAATTTCTCTGAATTTTTTAAGGCCAAAGGGTGTGTGCTTCAGTCATACTCTATGGAGACTAAAGTTTAATGCTACCCCTTGTGCCTATCATCTCCCATTATTTAAACAAACAACATACAACAGTTTCTCTTCAACCCAGAAATAATTACACTCTAATGTCAGATGAAACATAATATGCATATAAAATTGGATGTTTTTAAACTGATATAATGAAACTGTTATAACTTTCCAACAGTTTATCCCTTAGGAAAGGAATATTTCAGTAACACTTGAATGGCTGGTTAAAATTTCCATTATAGAAACAAAATGTGGCCAAGTTTGAACCTTTGGACAGATGATTTATATCATCTATTCCAACTTCAGGAATATTTTCTCAAAACGTTTTCACCTGCAGTATTTATGACATCTTAGATTGGTTTGAAATTTGACAATTTTTGATCTCAAGTAGAAAATGGTTTTCAATAAGCTTTATGCAGCTTTTTCTTCTTTTTGCATCATTCTCAACAAAATTCCAATACTATGCATAATCCCACATCCTTTGTATTGTCAAGGAAAGGTTTTTCCCCTCAAGACAGATACATACACATCCATAAAAAATATTTTTTAAAAAATCACTTCTACAAGCATGAGAGTCAGAAATTTGCATTTTCAAGAGCAAATCTTTTACTGAATTAACATGGGCAAAACTTTGGGGGAGGACAGTAAAATTCAGATAACTAGTTCAGTCCTTTACCAATTTAAATGTACAATGAAACTTTTTGTATCGCATTACTTATTAAACTAGTTCTCCAACTTAAACAAAAGCAAAGCATCACAAAAACAATTGTGTTTCCAATTTTCCTGAAACTAATTTTAAAAATGAAACCCTGGGCCAATTTTGTCCTTCCTCTTCATGGTAAGTATGTATTTCGCTTTTTTGTATTACAAGATAATGCAGAAACGGAATTTGAACTGACTGTACAACTATCAAATTGACTGGGAACAGATTATTCCTACATATACAAAAGGAGGGGAACAAGAGCATCTGCAGATCAAGAAAACGGGACGAGCCAGCCAACCCCGCCGACTCGGAGTTGGAAAGAGACAAAAAGAAACACGTGACACCGAGAGAAGATAAATGACAAGTGACCGGGAAGTTTGTCTGTGTTAAGCGGTGCGGGTGGGTGGGTGTATTGGTTGGTTTAATTATGCACTACTGGCAATCGACCTCCTGATTTAGTACAACATGACACCTAAAACTAACCCACTACCCGCAAAAAAGATGCCTGCGGCTAAAAGCGTTGACAGCTCGTACTTGTTCAGTCGCTGAAACGCATGCGCATTTGGGCTGCTGACATTTTCGCGTCGGTGGGTCTGTTGCTCGAAAGGTTGCTCTGGTGATGGTTGTTATGGCGATCGAAGACGCGGCGATCGAGGACCCTGAGGCCCTTCTCAAGTAAGAGCCGGAATCGCGCGTGTGGATGGAAAGGATCATTGGAGACTAAGAATAAGGTAGTTCAGAAAAGGACACGAAAGGAAGAAGCGGCTGAATCGGGTGGATGGTGTGGAGGGCAAAGTTGAATTTTGCTTTCAGGGAAGCCAATTTCAAATGCATTCATAATCCAGCTCAAATCCTG